ATAAATTACAAAAAAAAAAATACAAAAAAAAAATTGTTTCAAGGTGAGCTAAATTATTCGCAACATGTTCTACGGTGAATAATAGGTTATTTGTAGACATTTTGTATTTGTGGCAACCCTACGTGCGACGAATGCATGTAGGTGTTACGTGATGTACGTCGAGAAAAACCGTTCGCGTAGGTATACAATTAAGATGAAAACGCAAGACTTTTCGCTTGAGGAGGGTTTTAATTTTTCCAAACAAATTATTTTGCATTATTTTAATTTAAGTAACAACATATTTCCAATGAATTAAAAAACTAATACTGTTAATGAAGTAGGTCCTGGCCCACATTTGCTAAATTATTAAACTCTTAGACTAATTGAAAAATATCAGGAAAAAGGCTACTACGTGTTGGGGGACTTTAATTTAAATAAAATTAGCTCCAATTATACTACAATTTATATGATGGTTTCTAAGAAGCAGATCTTTCTTGAAAGATGAATATTAATTATTTTTCCTTAATTTACGAAATCCCCATCAATAAATTTAGTAATATATCGTCAATGTTAACAAGATAAAAACTGTTATCTCTTAAAACAAGAACCGATCTATCATACAATACACTATTTGTCTAATTAACACTAATTACAATGTCAAAACAAATATATTAAATGTCTTCGAACCAAAAGTACCGCCCACTTTCATTCGGTAGTTGAAATTTTCAATAACTTGTATAATTTATGGTAATTTTTTGCAAAATAAAAACCAAGGTTGAATCTCTTGAAGCATTTTATTCGACTTATGAATAAAATAAATAGTTTTTACGATTGTAGGTACAAAATGTTTTTGTGGCAATAATTTAATTATTACCTATTGTTTAAATACTGTTACTAACTTAATAGTCTTGCTAGACTTGTTTGTACGGAAACTCCTAAATGCAATCGTTTTGGTTTTCTCAAAAACAAGTGCTCAAGGATGTTAATCGCAAATGTCTGGTCTCATGACTTTTTGTTAAACCCACTTACTTTTTTTTAAAGGGACAAGCCCGCTACAACCTTCCAAAACCGCTACAACTCCTGTAAGCCACGATCTACAGTAGATACAACCATGAAAACATCGGAACACTGAAGTCCGGCGCGTCTCAGGGACATGAATAACTGTCTTGCTTCCCGCACCGAAATAAATCAGAAGAAATTTTAGGAGGAGAAGGAAAACCCCAGTTACCGTGTTACCATATGAATGAAATATCCTGAAAATAAATGCTGCTGATAATTAACATTTCAGAATGGTACCTTTACACATACAATACTTTTCCTCTCTAATAAGTCGACGAGGAAACATAACTATTAATAATTCTAATAAATTGTTTGGACATATAATAAGAGGTGTTATTAGGGCCTTTATTTATTCAAATCTTGCCGCTATTTGTCAAGCGTTTAGTTGACGATGAGTTGTGACGGGCCCACCTGCCCGAACTGGTGCCTTGTCGCCTGCGGCATCAGAAACAAGTCGTCTACACGACTGTCGATGACCCTCCTAGCTAATAATACTAGGTGTCATCAACCGACCATTTTAATGTTTCAATTTTATAGCGTTTTAAATGTTCACCTTCAAACTTCTTTCATCTTAAATGAGTATGTATAATTCACGATAAAATAAACAAGATATTTTATCTAGATTGCTAGGAAATCCACATTAAAATATGTATTATTCATTCCTTAATATAATATAGGCTTGTCTGTTACATGGGACTCATACTATACCAGATGAAAGGTACGTGTTACACTTTATACGACATGCATCTTTGTTTACTCCTTCGAGGAGTAAAAGCCGCGTTGATATATTATGTTCACTAAAATATCACGCCACTTATAATTAAAACTACAATTTATATTTAACTTCTATTCCAAACCAGTTTAATCAGTTCAATTACTAGAGTAATGATTACGATTTAAAACGTACGCTAGTAATACAAGGCTAGATAAAATTGGACAGATTTACATACAACATACATATAAAGACATAAACGGACCAATCAATAGAGCATACTTTATTGCAAATTTATGCTCGATACATGTCAATAAACAGGTAATCGTTGAAAAGTAATTAATGAAACACTAGTTTTCGAAACTTGGAACTCGGGACCGGCCCCCACTAAATCATAATTTCACTTTCCATCAGATGTCTTACGAAAGTAGTATGTATATGATATCGCATTTTATAATAAGCCTAAGGAAAGTTTACTTAGATATAAATTCAATATCTTAATGCAAGTAAAATCGCATTATTTGTGGGTAAATAACTTTCTTCTGTAAAAGGTTGTAAATTTCTTGACACTTCGTTTTTTATTACATTTGGCTTTTATATCTACTCATTAGCATTTCATAGTCCCAACAGCTCATCGTTTTAGTGTTTGTAGTAACCAATACCTACATATAACTATACATAGGTACATACATAGTTATTATAATGTGAATCTAATGTCAAAAAAGGTCATGGGAAATCAGCACCTAAGTATTGATGTTTTATTAGTATAACTGAAGTTTTTTCTTGCAGTTTTTCAAGGATAAGTCTTTATATTCTTTTGCCCAATACATTAGCGATAGATTCGCTCCCTATTATAAAGAGCTTTTCCATGGAATTGGGGAACAAACGAGTAGAAGTATCACCTGATGGTAAGCGATCAGTATCACCCATGGACTACAAAAATACCATAGGACTTTCAAGTGCGTTGCCTTTGCCTTTTAAAAGAACTAAATATGGCTAAAAGTGTAAAAAAATAAAGGTAGTTGTTCTGAGAAAAGTCGTGTGTGGTATATGGTACTTACACACAATTCTATCCTTTCGAGGGGTATCAATAGGGTACATGACAAATTTTGTAGATTATTTAAAAATATTATACACGTATTTTTTATTTCGTTACAAAAACAAATACTTTCGACGATATATAGATTTGAAATATTGCGTGACGTCACTTTTGTGGATGTTTTGAACTCCTGAACTTTGATTTGTTTTATATAAATATTGTTTTTATACGACAAAATAAAAATATACAAGTACAAGTAAATTTTTTCATTGTCTAACAACTTATTCTAAATTAGATTTTTAATTTTCATACCATTCATACCATTTCATCATCCCGATTAAGCACGATATTGTATACCTATGCATGTTAAACATTTGCCCTCCAGAACTCACTAGAGGTCAAACGCATATAGTTTATGCATATTCATATATATGCATTGTAACAAAATGCTCTTATATAAGCACTGAGCATAGATCATTGTTAACAAAGACTATCTAATGTTCCCGACAATATGTGAAGGTCGTTACAAGTAGGCACCTATTTGTTACAACTTTTCTTAAATAGACATTTAAAATCTAGATTTATTTTAAGAATAGTCTTGATAACACTTTTATTACACCTATAAATATGTTAAACTATCTATTTTATTATTTATACCTCTACATAATTTTGGGGATCAATTAAATGTAGTTCTTTTTTAAAGTTAGACTAGACTAGAAGACATTTTATGTGAATTTAATCGATTTTTTATTTGATAAAATCTGTATCTATGAATTAAATTATGTATCTTTATATTATGGTCTCTATGAACTCGCTTTTTTAATGAACCTAATTACGAATAATCTAAAAAAACTATTGGAAATTAATACATTAAAACAAAAACCACTTATCGGTCAACGACCTTTGGCATCTGGTGTCTATCTTGTTAGCACAATTTTCCTATCATTTAATAGATTCGCATGTCTCTGTTACCTCCTACCCAATAACCTGATTATTAGAGAGAGTAGGTATCAATGGAGTACCACAAATGCTATGATAATAAAATGGGCAGATATAGAACTATAGCCTATAGGTGCTCTATTTTTAACTGACTTCCCAAAAAGGAGGATGTTCTCAATTCGGCCGGTATGTTTTGACTTCTAAACCATCAGTGGGTAGGCAGTACAATGAATTAGTGACAGTTATTTTTTGGTTTTGAGTTTATGGTTTTTGAAGTCGGTTTTTTAAACGCAGTTTTATTTATTAACATTACTAATTTGCCCTTGACACTTGGTATGCGATATATATTAGAAAAATTCACTTTTAATTCTTCGATGAGTTGTTGCTATAGAAACATATGGAATACAAAATAAAAAGCATAAGGATCAAAGGTCTAAACGTTGCAAGCAAAAAGACTGCAAGTTGTACGATGGCCGGGCAAAGGGTACCTTTATAATGTATGGGACCTACCTACGGTTTAATTTGCTTGCGAGATTGATTTGGCGAATTCCTGGTAACAGTCAGCTGTGTGTCGAATATATTTTATTGGACGACCTCACATTGCACAGAGATGGCCCGTGATTTATCTAACATTCCATTTATTTATATCCAACTATAAAACTAACGACTCGACGGTAGACATAAAAAGTTTAGACATTTGACTAGTTGACGCTGCATTTGACTGAATTCAGTTTTCGTTTTGGAACATCAAAAATGTATTCGAAAATTTTCTACAGGTCTTTTTTGTATTAAAGTTAATACCTTACTGCTACCTTGTTCGGTGCTTCCAGCTAAATGCAGTTGTTGTTTATTTTCGGACAATTCTGATAAGGGTTAATATTTTTTTAATACTTAGGTGCCATTTTAAGGCACTAAAATTTTTTAATGATCCTCCTTGCTCTGTCATTTAAAACCTTAAGTTTAAGCTACTTATTGGCTACTTAAAGAAATCTCGAAAAAGGTCTTATGCTGATCAGTAGTTATTGGAATTTTCAACATTTAATTATTGTAATGATTAACAACAGAAATATAGAGGTACGATTTGTTTAATTTATCGCTGGCAGATAAAGTTCCAAAAATTTAGTGTTTGGTATTTGAATCTTGAATTTTTGACTGACTGACAGACTATTATTTATTTTGTATTTGTTGACGTTTCAAAAGTACCAAACTATGGTTTAATTGAAATAAATGCTTTGACTTTGACTTTGACTTTGAATAAAGAAAAGAACTCACAAGTCCATCACATGCTGAGAGTGCGACGGTAGAGGCAGGTTGTCCTCTAATTGACCCTGTGTAGTGGCATGAAGTAGCAGCTGGATGAGGATGGTCCCGAGTTCTCCCGTCCACGCTGTGGCGCTCCACCACCATCGCTGGCGTTATAAACGTTACTGATGGCCTGGAACAAAGAGTATTATTAGTTGGTGTTAGAATTTTCTGGAGTCGTCTATTATATTCTATGTCAAACTGTCTCTTCTGCTTATGAAGTCTAAAACAAAATCCTATAAGTTCTGTTCTTGTCCTCCAAATAGTGCTACTAAGTCCAGCTATGCCTTCTATACGTGGAGTAAAATTCGTATCACCAAGGCCATGGTTGAAATGAAAACGTCATGATTTGAATAAATTGTATAGAGATCCTTTTGCGTTCGTACCATTTGAGCACGAACCCTATGGAGGCCTATACAAGTTTACAAGTCACGACTTATGTGTGGGTAGTAATAGTAATTAGAGGCAGATATCGTTGACGAGAAAACAAATGAAGGTCAAATGCTCCCATAACGAACAGTAATGAAAGGAGGAGTCGTTGAACAGAAACAAATGAATGATAAATATTTCTGCCAAGCCCCCGGACGAAATTATATTTGTAGATGTCATTCCAAGTGCAATGCATGCAGCCATTGTCTTTCAATTGTCGCATACATTGAGTAGGCTACATATTATGAAAGAATACATAATATGAATTTGTAAGAGATTGTTCATTTAATTTCAATCATTTTGTTGTACAGACTATGTCCAATTGCTTGTAGGCTATCATTTTAATTGTGGTCAGCACACATCACATGCGTAATTTAATTATATATTGAAGGATGAAACGACAATAAATATACAATTAACGTTCTGATACGATCTAAACTATTCTAAAAATGCGCGTAATTCGAATGAAGTAAAAAAATATTTGCGCGTTTCCTTGTTTTTATACTGATGTATTACCCTTGTAAGATTATAACGACATAATTGGGATTCTCGGCCGGAAGGCGCACCTTATTCGACGAGGTCCAGGCAGATTACCACAAACTCTTTGCTCAACGCCGCGAGCTTCGGATTCTTGCGCGCGCTCACAACTATGTGACTACTCCGTAAATAAAACAAGAATAAATTAGATACATACAAACTATACTTAGACCACAGACTCTCGATTGTTTATGAAACTAAGTAGTGTGATTAACATTCCTTTCTCCCGTTATTTTCGTGTGGATCGTACTATTTTGTTTTATTTTACGCTCAAATAACAATCGAACATTGAAAAACTCCAGCCGATAGCCATAAATCCAAACTGCGGTTTAATCGCATATCGTCCAAGGAATCTGTCCACTATGGCGACGGGGCCACGACGACCATAAAAAGTAGATTTCACACTGGCACACGGTCAAGATTTATCGGACAGTATGGTCCGGCCTTAGATACCGGGCAGAATGCAGCAATTGTGGAATGTAACGATATATTAGCCACAGAAAAAGGAAAGGATACACTGGTGCTCACTGTATTTGTAAGTAACCGACCTTTATATGCTATTTTATTGACTATAAGTGACAATAAATTATGAGTCAGTAATTGTAGTTGAATAAATTTTATTGATGTCAGTTTACGGTCAACAACCTGCGCGTTACGTAACAGTTTGATAATAAATGCTGAATTAACGTAAGTTTCAATGGAACACACGCGCAGTCGTCGATACGGCGCCACTAAGCCAACACGGGACAAGTACTGTTGTTTTTAGTTTCTGTAGACATTATCAGCCTTGGGCCGTGGGCTGTCGATCAGAGGCAAACACTTCGAGTGGCGAGTAAGGCACTAAGCACACAGATAAGGCTCATTACGGCAATTAGTAGAGGTAAATACAGCCGCCCCAGATACGTGTTGACACAAGCGTCTATGTGTGTCCGTCTGTACACACACGGTAACAGATACACTACCTGTCATAATTGACGATTGATTGTTTCAAAACGGTAAAGGACTGCGTTCATCAGCTCGTAACATTGTGGAAAAATGATTGACTACAATGCTCGATTTGCATACGAACATCATTTAGTAAGCTATCAGCCAAATATTAGGCTGGCGTTGAATTGATACTCAATATGTCTTGATATATACCTTCATTCACCTTAATGAATTCGCATCCTCAATTCAAGATAGTGGAACCTTAACAAGTCTTATCGCTCGGCGTTACTTCTCTTTTGCATACGAACGAATCAGCTGTACATTAATGTGTACACAAGTTGACACGACCACTCCGATTTCAACAGGACTTTATTTCTTATCGCTTACATTAAGCTGTTGCAATCAACACGTAATTCATTGAGAATAAAGGAAAATATGCGCCTAATTTAATTGTACAAAATTAGAATGTATTCTTTACAAAAATGGCGCTAAATTGGTGATGGTGATTAACGTAACATTTAAGAGCTGGTTTATGCTGATTAGACCTGTTTGTAAAGTACACGTGTATCCTTATATGTGGTAACACAGGCGCCGAGGTGAGACCTCACGCGGTACTAGCTCTATACGCGGCTAATAGTTGCCATTAACATGCAAATTTCTTTGAAACACTATCATTATTACCACCTAATATTTATACTGTTGTTTGGTCCCTAACAAAAAAGGCCACATATAATTTTGGTAGCTATTAACATTCTAAAAGTCTCTTGTAACTGCTTCTGTTTATTCAGTCTCCATTTCCTATTACATGAAAGAAAGACAACTGGTGAATAGTGAGTGTCCCTATTAATCTCTGCCTACGCTACTGGGAAGTACTGTTCGATGTTTTATGTGTTCGAAGACTCAACACGCAACCAAGGATTTCTGCCACCTTTAAATCTCCATGCAACTTTGTAGCTACGTTTGTCCCATATTCAGTAGTGAAGCATCGATACTCCGATACCTATGTTCGTCATTATTTTTATATCAACTTTCACCTATTGATTTCCAACACACCTAGAGTTACTCTATACCCATGATACATCAAAGTGAACTTTTACGATCGTTTTCAGAAGAAAGTGTAAAAGCATGCTTTCTCAGAAACGTAATGACGAACATATTCTCCGACATTATAAAAGAAGAACATAAATATTGTTCTTTTAGACGCAGCGACATGTTATTTCGAGATGTTAAACATTCGCAAGTGTCATAGGTCGTTTGTTAAATGTCAACGCGAAAGCATTACAAAACTAAATGAAGGTAAAACGGCAGTAGGTGTTAAGTGTGAAGCTAACGTATTATTTCCTGGGAACAAGAGAAACGTCGAGTCCAGAGTCAGACGCTTCCTTAGCGACACAAAATAAAAGGGTAAAACTTAAAGCGTATTGTTTTGAGTCGGCTGTAGCACGTATCAGGTATCGCACGGTGATATATACAGCGTGTGTAGATATAAATCTCTTAGAGCCCTGTGGTTTCGGCGCCCTGCCGTGCGAAACCTTTATTTTATTACAGCGCCTTACGAGTTCCTTGCACTTGAACTTGCAGTGCGTTTTACCTACATACATGCCAGACTATAATAATATCGACGACTTGCGACTTATTCTGTTGCTTCATTTTAGCTCTCGAAATAGAAACCTCCTACGCAGTCGGCACCTGCTGTAGGCGGTCCCTTATGTGTTCAAAATAATAAAATTACCATTTAAACGAATGATTCTGGGATTATAGCTATATCAATAATCAATAAATTAATTATTACAAAACTATCCAATCAATATTAACTCGTCGAGTACCGGTTTTGTAGACACAATTATAGAACAATAGGTTGCGGTCACCGGTGACCGCTTGGTGTTTGACAGTTTAAATATTCAAACATCAAATAAATCATAATATGTTTCTAAAAAACTTTTATAAACGCTCTATTCTCATACCAATTACACAAATACTTACAAATTGTTATGCAAATCTTTTGAACCTAACGACTTGGCACGCAGAACCTGTCCGATCTCGCGCCGTGTCGATGTTACCAATGCGAAAATTTATTATCGATGCCCCCAATTTACCAAGATCGGTGAAATTTACAACAATCATTAGACCGCTTTGGTGCGATCACTTGTCCAATTTTATGCGATAAAAATATTAACTGCAGATCGAACTCGATAACACAACATGCACAATTTTCAAAATAACCTTAGCATACAAGATTGTACCTACTATGGTACAAAATGTTCCAAACAATTTGTTTGTACGCGTTCAAATTGCTCCAACATGCTCACTCAAAATGTTCTGCAACGCGACAACAAAAGCCCAACTAAATTATATCAGCGATTATCAACATTCGTTAAGTGTTTGGCAAATAGAATTCGCTGTTCGCAATCTTAATTCGTAGCTATAAAATCTTATAATTCGATAAACTTAATGGACTGCATATAAATTAGGAATTACGACAACTATTACTATTTTACTAGGGTGAAAGGACCAAAGCCTATATCGTATACTTCGCGTTTACAGTTATTACAAAATCCAGGATTTTATAGAGAATGTAAACCTGACAACAGTTATTATTAAATAATATTTAATGTAGTTAATATTATTGCGTAGTTCACGGGAGGTATATTGGACTGGCTTATTTGATTCTATAAATCTTAAAGCTGCATTTATGTAATTAAATGTTTAGTCGGTTGACGGGTGTTTCATTTCAACAGTATTTCGAGTATGAAGTCGTTTATTCTGGTTATGACCAGGATAACATCGAAATAGAAGAGTCGTGAATACATGAATAGTTCAGTCACCACCTGGTCCAGTTATAAATCTTCGTGGCACTCGACGCGGGACTACATAAGTGTGGACTGTATATTGCATTATGTATACAAAAATAATTCTGCGTTTGATCGCTGTATACATAAACAATGTTTAACCTTGGCCTTACTCATGTAATTATCCAGTTCAAGAGTAACTGTAACAGTCATTTTAGATGGTAACGGTATCATTTACACTTCCGTATTTGGGCGTTTTAGGAAAATGGGAAAATTATTGACTTTCAACTTTTTTTTAGTGGTCACTTTATTTATTTGGTTCAATTGTTATGTTACTGCATTTCGCCTAGCAGCTCCCATCAGCCATTGCTTGCACTTAATATTAGCGACGGTAGCATTAAACAGTCGTTTTTCATTTATTTGGGTATTACTATATTCGGTGCTCGGCGGTCCCGCTACGTAGGGTCACGTTGTGCAATCCTTGCAATATTCATCGTTCATTGTATTACAATAATTGCCACATAAATATGTATGAATTGAACTTCGAAGACCATACAGCAACTTTCAAACTGTCGAGTTTTTGTCCCCAGTACATTAAAAATGCATGAGCCCAGCGTCCCAGTTGCTGCATGAGAAGAAATTCGACGAGGTCACAAGGCCCGCACCCCAGTCTGTCAAGTTTGGTGACAACTGCCTGCTTTAAGGTGATCATGTGTATTTTTTTATTGTCACTGAATCAATACCGAAAAGCCACTTACCTTAGGCATTTATTGGGATTTTTTTATTAATTTAGAAAGTGTGAGCTTATTTAAAAAGGTAGGCTGCAACCAAGTCGGTGTGTGTAGGCAAAAAAAGTGCACGGGCAGCTTCTAGCTAGTGTTGTGCTTGCGTTCACACGAGTGCGAGTGATAGCGACGCTTCCGCGAAACTATTGCGCGGCGAAAACGCGACAAACTCGATGCGTTCGCGTAGCTTTGATCATTCACTACATACACAACCAGATAACTTCGGTAGGTGTCATTCATTGTTATTCTTATATCACAGCTGTTTACATTTACTATACGCCTACATGTTTATAATTAGATTTATACCATTATCCCATTACAACATAACAGCCACAATAAATCAATAAGTCTGATTATTACGAAACCTCACTTTAATAGCTACGCGAGCATGATTATCTGCTCCTTATTGGTAACTATAAATTAATTGGATATAACTCCAATTATGTGCAATTTCCATGATATGGCTTTAAGGGAAAATGGGCTGTCTTTTTAGGGTGTCCCCAAATTAAGAAGTATTCATTTCATGTTTTGGTGAATGTTGCAAACGTGATGATGACGAGAGAGTGTGATATAATAGTTTAGCAATATAATGATAATAATCTTGGACTCGGTGCAAGTGAGCAAGGGTTTATCTATTTCGAAAGAAATAATGAGTGGCTCATGTATCTGATCCCGTGTGCATAGCCTACGTCTGGGATTGCGTTAGTCGATGGTCGATGGCGACATTACTTGTATGCGTCTATTTCGTAAGCACGAACACCTCAATTAATCAAACTAATATATTGAACGCATGTACTGATACTGACTTTATAATGTACTGATATAATTTATGCACAAATAAATGCCCGGTAATTGAATCGAGTGGTTTCCTATACTCGTAGCGTTATATGCTGAGTGATGATGAAGTATATCAACTTCCTGACTCTGACTAGACGGTTCTTTATCAAAACCTAAATCGATTCGATAAGATAAATTATTTACATCATTATTAAACGCATTGCGAAATATTCATGAAATTGCACATGCAAGGAATAGCGTCAATGGGTACGTAACTCTAAGAAGTACTTGCAGGGTCTTACCTAAGTACATGTTCGCGAACAAATTTAATTTTATTAACTATCTTGTGTTTCATAAATTATTAACACTATTCGGCAAAGGAATGCTGTTATACCTTCCAGATTTGGAATTCATTATATCTAAGTTAAGATAAAACAAGCTTTAAGCTCGATTAGGAAAACTAAGCATTATTTTGCTAGCAACACTAACAGTAGTTATTGATTTATTATGGCAACATTATCTTAAAGAGTAATCGGGAGGAGATCAGATCTTGGTATTTTACATCTTTACTACCATAAGTGTTTAGTTAGAATGAGTATGAATTTAGTGGTCGTGCCACCTGTTGGCTGTCTCACAATTTATCACTGTCTCTAATGACTGTATTATTTACTACTGGTTGGCAAAAACCGTCAATAAAAACGTTTGTTCGACAAGACACCGACTGTCGTACGTATTTTCATTACGAAAGGCGCGTATTTCATTATAACTCGTGATTTATAGGCTGTTCGACAAAGCCAATAAATTGAACTATTACAACTAATTAAATTAAGATAAGAGAATGTTGTGTGATTTATTTTGTTAGGAAAAATCCTAGTTTGTTGTCGTTGGTGCTATATTTCCTATGCATCTAAATACATGGATATTACATTTTTCTTGTTAGCGAAGCATTAGTCAATGTTGGAATACAAGTTTGCTGTAAAAATGTACGGAAATAGCCTTCGAAATTTATGAGCTTTAGTAAGTAGTGCGTGCGGTGAGTTAGGCGCGGGGCCAACTACATGTCTGAAATTAATATCGTGTATCCAGGCATCAGTGATCGAATACAAACGGTCGATCCTAATTTCATACGCCATTATTGATTCTTTTCTATGAAGTCTAAAAGCGAAGGCATTAGATATAAAATTCTCGTGCTTGTTATTCAGTGCAAAAGGCCGAGCACAGTTCTAGTTTTCATGCTATTATATATTGATAATTATAAAAACCGAAAAATCCAATAGTACTTAACTTGATCATTCGATAAACGAGACAATAGTTCGTAACTAGGGTTGGTTTTAATTCCAATGTCAGTATCGCTTTATCTAATTACCTTACTTCAAATTAAGATCTTTATTTGTTTCACAACCGCACAAAATGTAGTATAGTCTATTTTTAAATATGACATCTAAACCAGATAGGAAGAACCAAGAAAATCTTTTATGACAGTCAAATAAAACCGTCTAAAATAAATAGCCAAAAATGTCCAATTATAACTGTAGTTTAGTAAAAAATATATACTAAAACCTCATGTCTTCTATTCACGGAATTGGCGAAGGATCGCATATTGGACGTAGTATTTACTTTTTTGCCATTTTGACCTTCCCTGCTTGCCCCCTGATACTCTTGAAATAAGTTTACAACAAGCACATTTCCGTGGCAGTTCAACTAATGACCACTCCTTACAAGGCTCACAAAAAGAAATAAAATAAATAATAAATTATTCCTTACCTCAGGTCCAGCCTGAGTTCTCGGCCATCGACAGTAAGGTTATAATGAACCACATGAGGCTGGTGCTGCTCCGTGTGTTGTAGATCCCTGCGAGCTCGCGCGTGCCCGTGCGCATGGGCGTGGTCGACGGCGTGCGAGACCAGCTCGCCATGCGTCGTCACCTTCACAGGGTGCACCACTTGCACTTTCGATGCGTCCAGGTGTTGGTGGGAATAGATACCTGCATAGAAAATAGAACTATGTTATTAGAGGCAAAAGGCTCACATTTGAAAATGAATTAGGTAAACGAAATCAAGTTGTAGACTTTAAAGCAGATTATCGTACGTTTGCTGGTACCTACTAGCACAAACAACAACACAGGTACAAGACCAAAAATGTACTTATAATAATTGGTCCTCAGAAACGCAGAGTTAAAGTGTCGTCAATGATTTTCTATTTTGTTACTTATGAAGATAGAAATAGAATACTCCCTTAGAATTACTTATTAGAATAGTTAGAAAGAAATAGGTTGAAAAGTCTAGCACGTTGCTAAGGAAAAGAAAAATTATGATTATGTAGTTTAACGTACAGTAATGGGCGCTGAGCAAAGTTTGTGTTTGTAAATCGTACGCAACGGGATGGAAATAGCTGCCGGAGTAACAGTTGACGTTTACGATGAAAGGGTTATACACACTATTACGCATGTCAGTAAAAATGTTTACTCTGATTATAATTGTATTAAGTAAGAGCACGTGTTAGTAACTGGATCACTGGTACTTATACAAAATTAATTACATAATTGATTAGGTATCATCTGGGTATAAATAAATATGACAAAGAAATATCAGATGGTACATTATTGCATAGCAGTTATATCGCTATCGTGTTCAAATTATAACAGAAATACTAACTGAAAATACGAGGAAACGAAGCAGAAAAGACCTTAAGGCTATTACTTTAATCCATAAATTGGATTGAATCAAGAATAAGGAGTTAGATCTGAAAGCCTTTTTCCTTGCATGCAAGATATGAAATTATTTTAAGATCTATCTTTATCAAAGTACTAAAACAGCTATCAAAGATACAAACATCAATTTGATAATAAACTCGCGGAGCAAAATTCTTAGAAAAGGATAATAAATTCTCAAAACTAACAACGATAACCTAGATTTTAGTGACAATACTGACAACGTAGCAGTTTCAACGCCACGAGATGTAATGACTTCGTTTTCTAGTTACAACGCTTTGACAAACAAAATCGTACGACAATAACCTGTCTTTTGCTGACGCTAGTAAATAAATAATTTAGTCTGCCATGTGTCTTGGTGACGCAAGTAAAAAGTTGTTTAAATAAGACACCCTTTTTGCACTCAGCGTTTTGTTCGGCAAATCTAATTTTAGATGCGATTATGAATTCGTGACACCGCTTCTGTGCTTGCAAAAGGGTACGTGATTCGTACTTAGACCCTTCTTTATAAATAAAAGCTCTTGCAGTGTCTCATATTTAACCGCCACAAGGTTGCTTTTGAATTTACTGAAGTGGAAGTTAAGAATTTTATTTAAGAGGAAAAAAATTTAATCTAAGTAGTACGTATAAAAACTTTTTATTCCAACTCTTGGAATGTGTAAAAAACATTTCCAAAAAAAAAACAACTATCACAACAATCAACCTAGTTCGGAATTCAAAACAACTAAAATAAAAAGACAATGGAACGTTAACAACTGTCCGCATAGAATGGACGGGCTTAATGGCATTGCGTTTATGAAGTAATGCAGTCCCGTGCGCCTGCGCGACCGTCCTAAACATGGCGCCAACTCCAGGCGCCATTGCACTCGTATTTTTATATCTCAAAACGATTAACGCCTTAATTATACACTAACAACATTCCTTCAATAAATTATGACATACTTTTTATTTATTTTGTTTTTGTTTAGAGTTAACATCAAATTCAAATAATTGTTTTAAATAAAGGTGGTAAAATGATCTTGGTTACAACGAGATCATTGTATCGATTTACTTTTGAACAAATAACACCTATCCAATTAATATTTTGTAGAAGAGTGTATAGTTGTATAATACATAGTATAATATTGAATTCCCATGGCGCCGAGTCCAGTAACATAACCCGCACCGCGCTAGCCTGACACGTTCCTAGACTACAAAATTCTCGGTAATATGTTCAATTTTTCATAGACAATCATAATTACTAGCTTATCACTCATCATATGAACGATTTCATATGAAATCTGTATGCTTGGTCAGCGACGGAGCGGCGCTAGTCACTCGACACTCGCTGACTGCAAAGGCCACACAAGTTCCACCTGCAACTCGTGTTTTTCTCACTCCATATTTGTCTTCCGAGGCTCATACATAAATGAATTTAATTAAGGTAAAAACTGCAATTGTCCAAGCCTTACCTGGTTTAAGTACTGACGATAAATGGATTAATAGAGCGATAATTTTCTTAGAACTCGCCTTGAAAATTGTAGCGGCGATGCGCGATGCTTTAATTGTACGAGGTCTTTTTTTCCGAAAACCTGAATTTTATTAATAATTCCGAATTTTAAGACAACAACGCGTAAAAATTAACTATTATTACATAGACTGGTCATAAAAGCGGCAATTTAAATTATGAAACTGATCTTTAGATAGAATAATGGCGCTTAGGTACACCTACCTAATGAAATCAAATATTCATTCGCAAAAAAGTATAATGTATGGTCTTAATCGTATTAAATGTACATTACGCATATATGCCGCACAATTTTCAAAGAGTAGGGTCGTTGGATGGTGAGGTTTTTAGGTAATTTTTTATGCAATCTACGACTTGAAAAATTATGTCAGTATTGCAATAAAAGTCGTGGCCTCTTTCCCTGTTACTATGCACGACTGCAATTCTAGAGTTTGCTGTCAAAAGAACCGCCCACTGTCGGGCGCCAACACAGCTCATCACATGATTCACTGCATGTGATATAAGTTTAATCAAACTATATAATTTTCCCACAATCTTTAACTAAATTCACCCATTAACATAGCAAAAATTACACAAAATAACCTTCATTTTATTTTAATTTAGCAGTACTTGCCTACTATTATATGCATAGTACTTACGTGCGTGTTGGAATGATTTGCAATAGATTGATTACGTAAATTAATTTTATGTCCATATACACTAGATCATTCAATTAACGTAGGCAGGTAACCTAGTTAGCTAGATATTATCTCTGTAGGGCGCCATGTACGTGGCCTAAAGGACTAACCAATTTGACGAAGAATTTTTATTGCGGAGACCTTAACACGAGAACCCCTGTGGTCATAAGTGTTGTATAATCTAATAGAGTTAATTATTATTCATAAACTTCGAATACCGGATAGGAACCAGTCCGTTGTAATCTTCGCGTCTCAGAATCAGTTCCATATCGGCTCACTCGTCATTATATTTCGGGTCTTCGGTCAAGGCGACCCATGATTGACATTCGTTTTTAACATTAATTTTTATAATAGCGAATAATGCGTAAAACTAAGGCCCAAGTCGCCGAGCAACAAAACTAATTTGTGCGAGGCGATAAAAGTGTGTTACATCACCCTTAATTGTACATAATCAGAGTGTTCAAACAAAGGTATTATATGTGAAGTGACAAGAACAAACGTCTTAATAATAGTTTCCTGTAAAAAAACTAAAGATGCGTAACTATATTTACATTGTGACTAAACTATAACAAGCATTATAAAAAGTTAGGAAAATATTGCCGCATGAATAGGTTAGATAAAGTTTTCGCGAAGTGGAAGAAACGTTCGCATCTCCTGTTTTTACTGTGATTAATGGGTGAACATGATCAGGCGCACGATCGCTTTACGATCGTATCCTCGGGCGACAAGTGACAGCTTTACGTCATGGTTCACGTCACCAAGATCAACAGATTCGCGCCTTTTCTGCACTATACTGATAAGATTGCTTGGGCAAATATTGAGCTTATAAGATAAGCGAATCAGGATCGTTATACTTTGCACTTTCCAGCGATAAATTTGGGCAATAATTAAGTACTTTTACGATATGATTATCAAACATTAAGAAGGTAATTTACGAGACGAATAATAAAAGTGTCGCACGCACTAAATATCAGATTTAGTTAGGATATTGGTAACATTCGATGAGGTACTAATTTAGAATGAAAGTTCGACGACCGTGTCGCTCACTAACTGCTTTGTTTTATAAATCCCGCCACCTATTGCCGCTTTACGGTTATTGATTTGATTACGTTTATGCTTCATTTTGAAGCTTTCAGTTCAACTCACTCTGCGTTATCCGCGATCTATTTTTGAAATGTTCTTAAGTCTGCAAATAGAACTCTTTACAGCATTAGTGCTTCGGTTAATTCATGTTCCATCGGCCACTTATTACTGACATGAGATGCGCTTAAAATCAACTATGTACGCGTACACCGTTTATATTAATTCTCTACAGGTGCGTTATTCATTTGTATTACGTACGACACCGAATGTTCATGTAGCCAGCATGTCTATCAAACGGACAAATGCATACGCAGAAATTACATCACTATTTTGTACGACTCCACAGAAAAATTGGTCAGACATCGTACGATTTTAACAATAGCGTTGTAAGCATTCTGCCATGTTATTTGAATTTATAATGATAGCTGTTTCTAAATTCTAATTCAAAGTACTGTTCGTTTTTCATTTGTTTTCGTATTATGCTATAAATTTAATTAAATAAGCAATTTTTATTATAATGCAGTTGACCTTAAGAGTATTGAGATGCAAAAAGAGAATAACAAAAATGTCTACCACGTAGGTGACTGCCGCAAAATGTCAGTTGGTTACAGTAACACAATACTGTGTTATATTATAGTTTAGCGTTTTATTTTACAGCCTTTCATAAGCCGATTTTATGCGGTAGGTAACCTAAAAAAATATACGCTTTATTTTGATACATTCAAGTATTTTATAACAAGTTCGAAATGGCTGTATATAACTACTGGTGTGGTCGTAAGCTGGTAGAAGAAATTTGTAATTAAAATAATTATATGTTCGTGGTTACTGGTCTTGTGTAACGTAGTCTGTCTGTAGTATCATATCGAAAATTGTACAATAGTAATTTATTGAGAACCTGTTTTTATGAATGTTCGAAAACAAATATTGAATTATGTTATCTAAATTATATAGCTATATGTAAATTATCGTGTATAATTTGTTGAATAGAAGTTTATGTACCATAAATATACATACATAGGATATATTCGATAATGTTGAAGCTACTAATTTTCGCGTTAGAGTAAAAGGGTCTAACCTTAAAACGACCGCGTGCAGGTCAAACTGTCAATCGCACTCCGAATCCAATTACGAGTATTTCAAACTTTTTGACATTCACAAAACAAGGCGTAAGATTAGCGTGACGATGTACGAAGATATGATACTTTATCTGATGGTGGACCCTTGTCACATGTCACTTTTAATTGTATAACTAAAATCTGAGATATCAGATTATTCGGATTATACGAAGATTTGACCTCTAACGCCTTGACATGTTTTATATCGGTTTTGATTTACATTATGACTCATTCGAATTGACACTGCTTGTTTAAATAAATTGCCTATTGAGAAATTGTATTTTTTTTACAAAGTAACAAAAAACATGAATGGAATTCTTTTGGCCTGCTATTGAGTGGTCTTGTTTAAAGTTTAAGGTTGGGCAAAAAAGGTTGGAAGCGCGTGCTATATTTTTTAAGCTTGAAATACTATACAAAGATTTGTCAACATTATACATAGTAATTATTAAATTCCTACACGGAACAAATATTTGTGTACATACATACTTAGTTCATAGTTGCCATTCAAGAAAAAAAGTGTCTGTGTCACTTTAGACGCATTCTCTATACTGAACAAATTTCCTAGCGTGGGTTATTTTTTTTTAAGAAAAATAATAAAAAAACGAACATGAAACAAATATAAAAATGCTAGAAATAAAATAGATATAACTACTCCTTTGATTGTTTGTTTGACTGGTCGTTAGCATTTAATCACTTTTATTCGAAGTATGTACACTTACTAAAGCAAAACAGTAAGTGTTGCCAAAACGAAATATTTAATAGCCTCATTAAAAAAATCGCAATTACTTTGTAAATAAGATGGATGGCGGGAACTTCGCCTACGATGCTATTAACCCATTTTACTCAGTCAAACAACACAAATTAACTCAGTTGATGCATTAATGTTTTATTAGTTATTTCTGTCAAAAACTTGACGTTTTCTCAAACTTTTCGTAAAATTTTGCGGTTAAAATATTTGTATATATATAGTTACTTTTGGAAATTCCTGTGTTAAATTTAAACTCAAAAGAGTTTATTTCAATTAAACCATTATTTGGTACTTTTGAAACGTCAACATATTTATAGTATAAATAATAATAGTCTGTCCGTCTCTATGCCAGTGAAGCTAGGTGCTCGATTCGAGTGGAGAGGAACGAGAAAAAGAACTTCATTTGTTACTCTTACTCTTATAAAAAAAAAATAATATGTTATACAATATCGCTGATACATACTCCAATATTGTACATATGTTTATGTGAAAACAATATAAAGACACGATTGAGGCATAATACAAATTACAGAATTTACTAATTTAAAGAGATTCTTTACGATAACAACTGTATTATGTATCTACCTGTGATCTACAATGAATAAATGAATTTGAATTTACCTTCTCCTTAATAAGTCTCAAAGGTTTTTTAACTTTTTCTAATAAATTTCTAATAAATTTTTAGTAAATTTAAAATGTTTTAGAAAGATAAGTTTGGACTACGATGGGGCTGACGTAGCCTATTGATTAGAAGCCCCTAAAATAAAATAGATAATAAAAAAAAGTTTATATGACAAAAGTAAATCATTCAAACACTAAATTACCGGAGTTTTATGTTAAAGTCAATAATAATATTCATTGCAAACTGGTGCGTTAGTTATTGGGCTACTAAGATGGTAGGTACTCAATGTAGTTTCGAGATGATAAACTATTTCGGTACTATTTTGAGTAAGATTAAATTCAGGAGGAAAAAAATACTGTTTTTATCACATCTCATGATACAATACTGTATACAAAAACAGGATAAATTTTGTTTAATAAAATATTAGTATTTATTATATAAATTTTAATAATACTATTTAATTGGTAGTTTGGCGACGTGGTTGGAAAATCCGACTTTTAATCTAAATACTAATATGGATATCTAGTATGTATACTAATATGGATATCTAGGTAGGTATAAAAACGAAAATGTTACTGATAACCAGACTATTAAAATAATATTATTTTGACCTTTTCGGAACATTAAAATGCCTATGATAATTTAAAAAAGAATAATTTAATTCAAATGTTGATTCACTGTCGTCTCTAAATAATCATTTAGGCTGACCCACAAGCCTAGTTAATCATCATTGTTTAGCTGTCTGCATTTAAAAATGTGAATTAGCTATTTTTATAAATAATAAATAGTTTTAATAGCGATTGTCTATGCTGATATAATGCCTTTAGAATGAGCCTTATGTGTGTCAGGCTAGGAGTATTGTTTATTGAAAGAGCAAACAAAAACTTCTAATTTCATAACACAACAAAATTTGCTGTATATAACAGTTTTAAAAATATATTGATATATATTATCGATTATTACAATTTAACACTATTTTTTTAACGTGCATATAACGTAGGTATATCAATACATATTTATTTTTTTCCTATAGGAAATCTTATCTAAGTTAAACGTACAGGAAAACCATCTACTTTTAATTCTATATATCACAACGAAATTCTAATTTCATTATCTACCTTTTATATTAAAAATAACCAAATGTTTTTATAACTATTTAGGTATTATATTATTATATTGTACCTATTATTATAACTTTTTCCATATCGTTATCTTTTTAACGTTAAAATTATTTACAAGATTTACCTAAATCTAAATACGAAATACCCAATACTAATGTAAAAGTATCAAAAACCACTCACCAGTATGTAATAGGTTTCTTATGCTATCCTGGACATCCCTCTCGTCCGCGTCTCCAGCATCCCTCGTCAGATCTATCGTGACATGCTTGGCGGCGCACCAGGCCACCAGCATTTGGAACAATAAGAGTTTGAATAACGAACACCGCACATCCATCTTTCTTAACACCCGACAGTCAGTACGCATTCTGAGTCCACGTTAAAATAATCGTCTTTAAATTAAAATTTCACTTATATGGTCACCAGTCACCGCACTACTACCGGCAAAGGAATCGTCCAAAATGAGCTCGACGTAACATTTACGAAGCTTTATGCTTGTAGTTCGATATTGATAATGTGCTCATCATTCGTCTTCTGAGCTGGTTTGTCATCATACACTACCTGAAACAAAAAATTATCACAATCAAAACACGACTCGTTGATACTCAAGTTTTTATAACTTACTTTGAAGTTTTTTTTTTCGATACGTATCGATTTAATAGTCTATGAATGGGACATAATATATGTATTAAAAAGTCACTGGCCAACTTTAAATGCCACACGGTATTCAAATATTTTTATTTTTAATGTAATGTTATAAATATTAATTTATATACGATTTTGTCGATAGTAATATACCTACAAGTTTTATTTAAATAATCACTTAATTTTAAATATTATTATGTGGCAAATTAATGTAAAATAGGTACACAGTTGCCGGATATGTTGCCACTCACCATAATTTATTGTACTACGAAATGAATTGAACTGTAAAATTATTAGGTACTAAAATATGTAGATCGTACGATGTAGGTAAAATGTGTTTAATAAAGCGCGGCGCGAGAGTCTACGCGACTGTGGTTGTGTACGTGTAGCGTAGCGACGCGCTACATACGCGACCATTGTCTATAGATCACTATCTGTGTCTGAGAGCCGCCTCGTAGGTTATATAATTATTCATAATTACGTATTATCTGCTCACTCCATAGGTAAACACAATCTGGGAATACGTCCCAGAGATATAGTAATCTTTTTATCAAATCCATTTACTAAAACAATATAGTTTATGTCAGCAGCCTATTTTGCAAAATGTACGCGTAAAATTGCTAATGAAGCACATTGTCATTCTATGTTGTGATTAAAACGTGATATGATTTTTATAGATGCCAAAAAACTGGCACCATTAAATGTGAGATCCCAAGAATAGTTGACTACCTATCTTTATAAGGTAGAGCTTTCTTCATCGGCATCGCGACAAAACACGATTGATTGACAGTCTGTAGAATTATTTGCAATTTCAGGTCCATAAATAAACGATCTTCTCTACAAAAATGCACATACATTGCTATTATTTTTACCGACTTCGAGTGTAAGTTTTAACGTAATTCGCACTGTATATTGTCTTGAAACGTTTTAATCGCTATGCTATAATAGTAAGAGATAAAATGAAACAATAGCCGAGAGATGACGTGCCTTTCTATGAAGGAATGTATTTTAGGAATAAGATTGAAAGGGCGTAGGGCCCACGTGCCGCGATAACGTAGGCGCCAGCCACCTCGGCTGTACTCCTTGTTTTTATTTGGCTCCTTCGTACGGAGCGGAGGCGAGGGCCGGCGCCATGACGGATTGTTAAAATGTTTACCGAGACGCTTTATGTCTCCGTAATTAGCGTTATATGGTGGAACCAAAACGTTACCCCTCCTTATCTCAGGACGAGCGCAGTTTCACCAACAGATTATGGCATTTAAAACAATTACACAGCCAAACAATGAAAGAAAGTGCTTCATATAAACACAAAGGAGTTAACGGGTCGACATAATTGTGACGATTGCGAGCATGACAACTGTTCACGGTAACGACGCTGCGAACTGCGACACTCCCTAGCAACAATATTCAGCGAATAAAGCGAAAAATCTTCCGAAAACGTTCCAATTATTGGTCGTGTAATATGATTCTTTATATTTCCTTTTCATTTACGTACGAGTAACATGTGTGGTATCACAATTTTACCATATTTTATTAGCTGGTGAGGCTCCATCCAATAGCCGCGTGCCAATATGGGCCACCTGTATCAAACATTAGGTACATATTTCAACAGTTCTGTAGGTACTTCATTGCAGCTGTGTCAATTTTTAGGTCTATTCAGTCTTTAATGAAATCGGCTTGGTAACGCAAACATTATAAAGGTAGACTTTCATAGGTTAATGAAATTCATGATATATGAAACTGTAAAGTAAGACTGTCGGTATTTTTACTAGGAAATATGTAGCGTTCACTGGATATTATCGTTTATTTATTATCGTGTTTAATGTTTAAAGTTGTTTTACACATTTTGTATACACAACACGTCACGAATCTTAATAAAATTCAATGCTTACGTTTTATGCATCATGTGCAGATTCTATCGTTAAAATGGGACTCTCTTTGATGTCTGTACGTGCATACAGTTTACGGCTCGTGTACCTATCAATAAATTATATCGTAGCATTATATAACATGTAAAATAATGACACCACACGCAGTATAAACATCTTAATCTTTACAACTCTCTGATTTTGCGGTATCACGTAGTATCATTGTTATCAGCAAAGATAATAATATCTCTGTGTGTACTACACCTAATCTTAGTGCTGACCCGATTCGTGCCTAGGCTAATAATGACGTATGACCTGGACTCAATCTCCTCGCCTGTCTTAATCAAACACCTGATAATAAGACTTAATGTACATCTCTATTGAGGTCACGTAATAATTTGGACAGTTATATAATTCTATGTGGCACTGTTATTAGCTTATCTTTGTGTGAGATTAAACATTGAGAGCTGAGAGGCTTTGGATGTAAGTTACTGAACTGAAAGATGGAGGCTTTAATCACGTACAAAGCACCCGGCGGTAAGGATTCGATCACGTAGAGAAGGTCGTAATTCCGACTAAGGATCGAATAAGTGAATTTAAATTACGGCTTGTAATAGTATGGCTAATGTAGATAATGCGATGGTCTCGAGTAACAAAAACTGGTACGATCAGAGTGACGGACAGGTCGGTGGCGCCAACACCCGTCCATCGAAGGACAGATATAAGATTCGGAGGAACGCATACTCTTCGTTTTTTCCGCATCACAATGTAAACAAGTATCTTGTTAAAATACTTTCAATAAAAACCTTTGCAGAGCAGCATCACTTCCTGTACAACTACAGTCTTGTGTCAAGATTAAAGATATGAAACGTTAAATTAAAATATTAATTACTTGTAGGAGAACGTTGCTTAAGGCACTTTTACGAACCTACGCCTACGTAAAGAAACTTCAATTAGTAAGTTACAATGAAATACCAAGAACACAAAGCGACCTTATATAAAAACAACTCTGTATTGCACAGTTTTCCCTGTTGAAATAAGGTTTTTCCTCGACCAAATGATTAATGAAAAACATAACGTGAGGTGACGCCTTAAGACCCTTATCATTATTGTGCTATTTTTAAACTATAAGCTAATAATACGTTTTCGTTTCGCTCGTCTACACTAGTGCGATGATAAGAACAAACGTCTTCATTTCATGTAACAAGTTCAACAAGATTTACATGTTAATTTAATGTCTTATTACTATTATTATAAGCGTTACGAGCGTACAAATTACCTCTACGTTCATAATGCGTTTATACGATATTATAAAACATTTGCATTTATTGTTTACCGATTACTCGACACGTGGATTCCGATAGTGTAATGCCCTATTGATTACGAAAGTAAGTTATCAAAGTTATTTATTGTCATTATCGAAATAAATATGAAATTTGTTGTGTTTGCTTGTAATGTGAAAGAAGCTTAACAATGCGCGAGCGCTGGGGGCATCCGTCATCGTCTCGCGAGCACTTGCGCTTTGTCTGGACCCATTGTGAGGACCGGTAGCGCCGGTTATAGTCGGCTCGAATTATTGCCCTTTATGAACTGACTGCCCTGCCGAGATCGTTCGGAAATATGTAAGTAATGTACAGCCAACTATGTACCATAGAAACATCTTGGGATCTTCTAAAGAAATACGTTCACAGCAATTACGTAAGGTTTACTATGAATCATAAAACAAACTAACTAGAAAGGATTACTTATGACATTTGCCTAATTGATTACTACAGAATTAAAATAGTTACAGCAACAGCAGTTAATGAATATGACATTGAATGATGAAAAGCTTCCTTTTCTGAAGACGGCTAAGATATACATAACAAGCTTAATTGATACAGAGGTCAAATGTAAACAGAATTGATAGTTCAATCAATCCATTAGGCACAGCAACAGCCTACACGTTGTCTGTCAACCTAGAGTTTGATTGATACGTTCTTAAATATGAATGATTTTAGTGTGGGAAATGCTAACAACAGTTAACCTACAAATTAAACATGTAGACCGATTTGTTTTGAACTAAATCAATTGATTGAATTATGCCAATAGGACGCTGGTTTTTCCCACAGTTGGAAGCAAAGAAGGGGCGGGACAAATGTTTGAATATAATTGTAGAACAAATAGACCCGGAAATCTTCAAGGGAATCTGTAGAATGTTGTTTTGCCGGGCGAAGCCACAAATTTTTTCTGTCGCCTATTGTCTCCGAGGCACGGCGTCGCACTGACAGGTGCCATTAGTAAAGATGGCGGACAAATGGCGACTGTCGGCTCCAGATTTCATGATCACTCGTTCTTTTTAAACGATCCGTAAATATTTGAGAGCCGCTTCTAAATGCCTCATAGCAAACTTTTATGATCACTTACTCAAATCTGTGCTTTAAAAAATCGATATGAATCGAGTAGTGAGAGAATAGAGATAATGAAATAGAGATAGAGTAGCCAAAACATATATTTATTTAAAACTGTACTAAGTCAACAAAAAATAAGTAAGTTATTTCTGAGTACTCCCAATGCACGGATGGTGTTGACAATGTTTGATTGAAGGCAATCTTTTTTTTTCTCGCCACACATTTGGTTCATCGTCCTCAATTTCATGAGCCTCCTAATAGAATTCACCTATTTATGATCTGCTTTCAAAATAGACTTGAATCATTGTGGGAATCTACGATTTACTCCCGAGATTATTTGAAATTCTGCCAAATACTAATGATACACAATTATTTCAATCACTCAACAGTTACGTGTTATTTGTAAGGTAGTTCTTCTAAGTACTTTCCTACGTAGGTATACTTATATTTTATTATCTTATCTTTAAACAAAATCGTGTACGTAAACCCTACGTCACAGCCGCCTATTGAACCGCGGCTCAGCTTGTAAACTTTACTATCCTGACAAATCCTGTTTAACAGATTAATCTTGAATATCATACGTAATATTGACTTTCACGTTAAACATGAGTAAGCTGGCAAATGATCTTTATTTATATCAGAGGTCATTGTTTTCGGC